TTCACCAATTCCATATCAGCACGCCAACGATGGGCTCGCAGTCATGATATACGATCAACAATAATTAGTTCTGTTTATAAAGATCTAGACTTACAACAAATACAAGATGTTACAGCCGAGGTGTCTAATCATAATATGAAGAATGATACCAAACAAATTACAAAAATTTATCGACGAATTCGATCGATTCATCAATCCGTTTAGTCCTGAAGTACCACAAGATCTTTTGCTTAATAATTTCATCTTGGAAAGCAGCCTCAAGAGGTCGTAGAAAATTTCTTCTCAAATGTTTGAAGAAGAATGAGACATAAGACGTCAAACATTCATCGCAGAATGTAAAAACGATGAATATAGGTTCGAAAAGAGCATAAAAAAAGTGCCACTGGAAAACTTTTCTTTAGATTATGCTAAGAAAACAACAACAACTAAGGTAGGTGGTAAAGTGCTAGAAGTACGTACTCAAAGAGATCTGTTTGGGCGGATGCTTGGAATATCGATTGATCACAAAGTCGATATAGCCAAAATTTTATCATACCCCATAACGCCAGTGCCATTATCCATGTGTCATTTCGACGGTGGCATCTGTAAAACCCAAAAGTCGGTTCTGATGAAATCATTGGAAAAAGGCGTACAACACAACCTACCTTCTCAGATTGATCATTTTGATAAATTGATGGTTTCTTTCTGCTCTATACTATGAATAATGTGCCTAAAACTTTTGGAAATATCCGCATAAAAAATTAGCTACAAATGGTGACACAGTTGAAAGCCACGAGATATGATGTCATATTTGATCAGTATTTTTCCCCTTCCATTAAAGATTATGAAAGATCTCGCCGATATGAATCATCACTACTGGAATTCAACATTACTGGGCCAGATCAAGTTTTCGTCCATCAAAATTTCAACTGAAAGAGTTTAAAAAAATATCCATTCAAACAGGCTCTCGTTGATTTCTTCATATTGCACTGGACTAGTGAGGAGATGATTCCATTCATTGGTAATAATCAAGTTTACATTAATTTTCGACAATGTCACTCTTTCACCGTGAGTAATAATAAAGTTATGTCTGAAATCAATGAAGATTTATCGTGTCCCCAGCATGAGGAAGCTGATAAAAGAATTGTTTTTATCATGTTTTGCCAACACTGATGCTCGAGCTAATTTTGTGATACGATGTTCAGATACGGATATTGCAGCGATAATGCTAGAAATCATGCATCATTTAAAAAATGATGATTCACACGTGTGGATATTAACCGGCACTGGTAACAATCAGCGATATGTTGATATTAGCAGTATCTACAAACAGTTAGGACCGTCGTTATGTCGAAGTCTACCAGGATTCCATGCTATTACTGGATGCGATTATAATCCCGCATTTTTCAAAAAGGGAAAACAAAGGCCGTTTAGTATTCTTAAAAAAATAAAGAATACCAACAAGCATTTCTCACCTTTGGCACGTTGAATTTGATCGATGATGTAGACGAAGAAGAACGTGTATTCAATATAGTACAAAGATTTATATGTGATGTTTATAACGTACCAGGAGTAATGGATGTAAATGCTGCCAGACTTCAGCTGTTTATTAATACATATATGGTATGTGATGTTAATGAAAAATTTATGCAAAAAAATATGAAAAACTTCGATGCTACTAACTTACCACCTTGTAAAAGCGAACTTCGGCAACAGTTTCGACGAGCTAACTATATTGCTAGTGTTTGGAACAATGCTAGTGCAAAAAAATGATTAATATCTTCAATCCCGAAAATCTATGGCTGGACCATTAAAGCTGATAATATCAAATTTTTCATTGGTTTGATGGAGATCAATTGCCGGATTTTGTCAGTCAGTCCTTGGAGAAGAATTGGTAATTTATTTTAGCTTCTCATAATTTTGATGTCTCTTTAGTTTTCCAAATCTTAATTGGTTGGTTTGTTTTTACTTTTTTTAACAGCGAAAACGCCCGAGGAAAATACTGATGAACAAGATGATGATTTAGATATTCAATATCAAGATAGGATCGATGATGAATTACCTGACTTCAACGACGATGACAATGAAGATTAGAAGCCAGTCGAATATTTACAAAATCAATCTTACAACTTATGTAAAAAATATTTGTCGATTTTTGATAGTTTTTAAGGTTTCGTTTACAAATAAATAATTTATTTGAAAAGGTTGCTGTTATTTAATTAAAATTATTAATACTAAAATAAAAAAAAAAAAAATTTACTTTAAAAAATTTAAATTAACTTACTTAAAAAAATTTAAATTAATAAAACAGTTTTTAAGGTAATTGTATAATTATTGCGGTCAGATGAGCACTTTTCTCAAAGTTAATCTTTGATTATTTACGTGATTTTCAAATAGAAGGAGAGAAGCAATGACACTCATGTCTGTCTCACTCGCACTTATGCGCACGGATAATGCCCGTGCCCCTACTCTCAGCGACATGAAAATTGGGTCTGGTGAATGTTTGGCCCCTTGGATCGGTCTGGTCCAGTTTTGCAAAACGATCTTTAAGAATGTTGTTTGAATAACATAATTATAAAATAATTTTTTTTTTTTTTTTTTTTTTTTTTTTATTTTTTTAATAGCTTTGAAGCGTCTGTAAGGTAAAACGGCCGACCGCATGTGTCTGGGAGTAATGAATTCCTGTATTTTTTAACGATATTGTGTGAAATATATGTTAAAATCAGCTATCAGAATTTAAGTGAAGTGAGCAGTATTTCTATGTACCTTGATTAATTGCTACCTGAAAAAGGGCCGTCTGGCCAAGGTAGCAACTAGTCATATGATCATAGCACACCCCACCACTACTCACTCGTATATATTTTGTCCATCAGAAAATAAGTGACGTCTGGGAGCTCTGGGATCTTCCTCTATAGGATAACAGAAACATTTTCAATGTTAAAAAAGGAATATACACATTAATGCAATTGCGCACCACCCAGACGTGATCACGTTGGTTCACAAAAGACGCAAATAAACTAATCTCAATAAATCTAGCTAATTAGAGATATCTGTCTCTATTTTAAGTATCTAATATCTACCAATTTTTCTCAAAGCAAATAGTTATTTTCATGTAAATTAAAATAATCTTAATTTGAAAGTTGTATAGAATAAAAAAAATAACAGAAATTCCAGAATTAAATCCTGAGAAAATAAGGAGAAAATATTACCTACTTTACCTCGATGTTGGTGAGGGTTAACGTAATAGTAGTCTTATTCTGCGTTGCAAAAGTCTTGTACGGCTGAGGGCTAAATTACTCCCACAAAGTGGCGTGGAGAGCCGGATCTCAACCATGGTATCCTCTATTTGTTAACATCGTGAAAAGCCAATCTTATTTCAACCTAAAAAAGACTTACTTTATTATTAGACTTACTTATTTCTCCTTTCAGGGACCCCCACCAGTTGTGGAGGCAAATTTCCCTGGTTGGCGGAAAATTATCAGAGACGCATTTTCACAGAAAAACTTAACAGAACACTCTATAGAAATTATCATCTCGTCACTGTCAAACAGTACAATAACACATACCTGAAGTGGTGGAATTATTGTAAAAATCGGAATCAAACTATTTACCTATGATCTTAACTTCCTACTTGAATTCTTAAGAGAACAACTATCCCTAGGGGCAGCATACTCCACAATAAATTCTCACAAAGCAGCCCTGTTGTTAATTTTAAACATTAAGACTGAAGACGAAAAGACAATCAAGAGGTTCTTAAAGGGCACATTCAATATAAAACCTACAACACCAAAATATGCTGCCACAACACCAAAAATATACTTTATAAACTATCCCATTATAGAAGATAAAAGAACTAATTCATATAATATTGAGACGAGCATGGGATAAAATTACGTTAGAGTATATTGAGGTAGCTACGAAAAGGTAAATATAACATTTAGATTGTGTAGCTATAATATTCTTTGATATAGGATTTATTATTATGGTTAGAGATAAATATGCATTAAAGTAGATTATATATTTTTTAAACAGGAAATAGAAAGAAATCTTTTTAGTTGCTACATTTATAATAGTCTGTTTTAGTTAGAACAATAATCCAGTTAAAAAGATTATGGGATAAAATAAAAAGAAGCAGGAAAAGTGCGTTAGCTGAAGAGAGGCGTGAAATGATGGCCACAGGAGGCGGGCCGCCTAAACCACCACCACCTTATTCTCAACCCGAAGTAGATGCCCTGATACCTCATCTCGATTATGAAGTTAATATTGAATATTATTTTGATGGCATAAATTTAAAAAATACAGAAGGTAAACTTTCTATACTTTGATAATAATTAAAACAATGGATGACTCCTCAGCTACAAAAAAATGGACATCCTGGATCAAATTTTCAAATGCTCAAAATCTGGTTGGATCATAGAAGAATTATTTTGTGAGTGGTTGAGGCATTTCACAAAACATTCAAAGGCTAGAATGGATAATTCTGATCTTTTGATTGCCGATAACCATACCAGCCATATCTCTCTTGATTGCTACAACCACTGCCGAGAAAATGAGATAGTCCTCCTTTCTATACCACCACACACTTCACATCGGCTACAGCCTTTGGATATTTGTTTTTATGGTCCCCTAAAAAAGGCTCGTGATCGTGAATGCGACTTATATATGAAGTCACATCCTTTTGAAAAAAATTCAACTTATGAGATTGCCGAATTGGTTAATAAGGCATATGGAAGAGTTGCGTCGATTGAAAAGGCGATTAAGAGCCAAACTACACGGGCGGATTTTCCGCGACGTATTTCACGCGACGCGACGCGGCGATTTGCACGTCCCAATCGAAACCGTGCCATCAAACGAGCGCAAGTAGACGAACGGAAAATACGTCGCGTTACGTTTATTTCCGTCGACGGTGAGCGTATAGAACGCCTTCTACTGCGTTGATATCGTCGCCGCCACAACGCAACAGGTTGTTCAGTACGGAGTAAACTAGACGAGGCGATCGATCGACGGTGCGAAGGATCCGTTGAAGGTACAGTAAAAAAAAATGTTCGACACAGAAATTTTTATTTGTGAAATTGAAAAGCGGCCTGCAATATACGATATAAAAAGTAAAGAATATAGCAATAAGGATGTTAAAGCGAAAATGTGGGAAGAAGTGGCCATGGTTATGTACAAAAACTGGAACGAGTTACCGATCCAGGAGAGAAATAAATTAGGTAGGTACCCAGAATATTTTTCCTACATAATTCATACAGCAATTACACTTTGTCATACTGATACAAAAGTTCTCCTTCTCGGCTTACAAAATAATCTTTAAATTTTTCCCTAATCGCAATACCGGCAGACGGCCCTCCTGTGCCAATAGCTGGAATGTTTTCCATCAGGCAACTCGATTCGTCGTTTGAATCAACTCCATCTCTTCTTCGTACAAAATTGTGTAACAAACAAGCAGTTTTTGTTATGTCAGTGGCAAAATCTTCCGAAACCAGTATATTTGTGTGAAATACTCTCCACTTGTTGGCGAGTATACCAAAAGTACATTCAACATATCTGCGAGCTCGAGTTAATCGATAATTAAATACTCTCTTTTCAATTGACAGATTATTCCGTGCATAAGGTCTCATCACGTTTTCACCTAAACCAAATGCTTCATCAGCTACAAAAACATGAGGGAGTGAAATATTTGGGGTGTTTGGAAGCGGTCTGTTTCCTGGTAGATCAAGATTCTTTTGTGCCAACCTTCGACCGAAAACTGAAGATTTGAAAATATTACTATCTGCTTCTCTGCCGTAAGCTCCCACGTCAATTGCGGTAAAGCAATAATCTGCATCGCTTACTGCCAATAAAACAATCGAGAAATATTTTTTGTAGTTAAAATACTGCGTCCCTGTATTCGGAGGGCAAACAAGTCTGATATTCTTGCCGTCGATGGCTCCCAAACAATTGGGAAAATTACTTTTTCTGTAAAATTCTTCTGCTATTTTCGTCCACAATTCCGCATCGGGCTGTGGCATTTCCAACGGCTGCATTTTATTCCATACTGCCACACAAGTTTGCCGAACAATTAATCTGATTGTACTTTTCGAAACCTGAAATACATATTCCAAAGCTGCAAAATCTGCTCCCGTTGCAAGATACCTGAAACAATTGAAAAATAATTAAAACAGTTTATTGTTTTATTGAAACAATAAAAAAATGTGTTTAAAATAAGTACTATTGACTAACAAATATAAATAAATATATATTTTAACAATAAATAAAACGGCTTCTCTATTGTTAAAGGAAAAGAGCTTCAAACACGATGGAAATCGTTAAGGGATCAATTCCGAAAAGAGGTGAGAGCGACAAAAATAACACAAAGTGGACAATCTGCAGCAAAGAAAAAGAAGAAATATGTTTATTTCGATAACCTCCTTTTCCTATTGCCAGCATTAGATACAAAAGTAACTGCTTCTAACTTCCTTGATGATACAAGTAGAAGTGAAACAGAAGCAACAGTGCAAAGTGATGATAGTGAGCTGGCTATTCCAGATGAAACAACGCCATTGCATGTATCTCCTGTTCAGACAACACCTGCAGCCACAACTAGGGAAACTAAAAGAAAAAAGACCAAGAAATGTTTCTTCGGATGTAACTGAGATTCGTGAAATGACCAAGCTATTGTCCGACAATTTAGCACTTCAAAGTGAGAACATCCAAAAAGACACATTTGGCAACAAGGCATTTTTAATGTCACTGGTGCCACTATTAGATGCGATGTCAGAAGATGATATGTTCGACTGCAGGGTGTCTTTAATGGACGCTGTTCGATTATACCGGTCTCCGCGTTCAGTACAACGTTTGATGCCAAATACATCTAAATTTTCTATGGTGCCTCAATCTGCTGGGCTTCAGTCTTCATCTACAAGTCGACCACTAACACCAACATCGGACGCATAATTTCAATCACAAAGTTCATTACAAGGTTCGATGCCAAACGTTTCTAAATCTTATGTAGTGCTTCAGCCTGCTGCGCCTCAGTCTTCATCTACACCAGCATCGGATGCATTATTTGAATCGCAAATGTCAGTACAAAATTCAATGTCAAATAATACTTCTACATCTTATATGTATATGTCACAATCGCAAATGACAGACTCTACACCATTTGATTTGTATCCTGTCACCAAACTATGAAAATAAATAAATAAAAAATACTTACCTTAATGTAAATTAAATTACAAGTCTTTCAATTGGACCAATCGCAACCCGCATGTTGGTATTATTTTTCTGTAAGTCTTCGCGCAGAAGGCCATAAAGTTCATCAAAGCTTCTCACAAACATTCGATAATATGAGTAGAATTTTTCTGGATACGTTCTGTGCTGATAAAAATTTTGCTCGAAATATCCTGTTGATAACCTGTCTCTTAATATTGGATGGACCCACCAACGTCGTTTCTTCTTCCTTTTCTTCAAAAATAAACTTGCACATACAACAACAGCACAACCTAACACATTGGGATCCATTTTGTAACTACAAAAATAAGTTGTATTGTTTAACGTGAATGTACTCGACGGAAAAAATGCTTTCGGTTTGATGCTGCCAATTTCAACGGAAATCCCGCCACGTGAAATACGCCGCGGAAATTCCGCCCGTGTAGTTTGGCTCTAAAGGATTCAGTTCTGCCGGAATGTATCCGCTAAACCCTGCCGTATTCAGTGATAATGATTTTCCAGATGTTGCAATTCCTGAAAATAACAAAAATATGGATAAAATGACAGATAAACAACAACCCTCCACTAGTAGAATGGAAACATCTGCCCACTGTGTAAAAATCAAAACCACGGATCCTACTGGAAATAGCAAAAATAATGAAGGTAATGCCACTGCAAGAGTTCAACTTCTTCAAACATCACTACAAGAAATCTCACCTTTCCTTACAGCCTCCTCAGTCAATTCCAAAACAAATAAAAGTTAGAAAGAAACAAAAATCTGAAATTATCACTTTAACACCAATGAAAGATATTTTAGAAGAAAAACAAAAGAAGATGAAAAATTTAAAAAGTCTAAAGGCAAGAAAGGTAAAATTTGATGAAAGTTTCTAGTGAAGATTCAGATGTCAGCATGACTGGAGTTACTGACGATAATGAACCTGACGACATAGGAGAAATGCAAGACACAGAAAATAATGTCTGTCTTCTTTGCGGCGAGTTTGGTCGAGATCAAGAATTATGGTTCCGATGCGTAAATTGCGGAGGCTGGGTGCACGCAAAATGTAGCAGAGTTAATAAAGAAATACGTGTGTGATTTGTGTCAGTAAAGGTTTTTTTGGTGCCCGGTGGCGTAGAGGTACAGGCTCTCGTCTACCAATCTCAAGGTGTGGGTTCGATTCCCACACCCGGCATTTCATCAGCCGACTATTTTTATTAAAATAAAAATAGTTTGGGTAGGGGAGACCGGTGTCAATTGTAACAAGGGTCAAAAGTAACAATAGCTGTAATAGCGCCATCTCTGGCCAATATGCCAAAACGGCCGTATGAGACAAAGCAGACACCTGTGCGGTTATGTGGTATTTCATTAAAAGACGTGTGGGTGCATAACGCTCGTTTCGTAAACACATGTTCATAATCAGCCGATAAAAGTAAATAAAAGTGGCTTTACAAATTGTCATTTAGAACTCAAGATGCTAAAATTGACAATGTTTAAAGGTAAGGGTTGGTTTTTGTATTCTTTTGGCTTAATTTTTGAGTTATTATTTGCTCATTAGTGTTGTAAATAAATATAGATTTTGAAACAATATCTTTTAAAGTTATGTGGTTGTCGGTTGTAACACATGTCATGGTGTCGATTGTAACGTGTTACTATTGACACCTGTTTCCTGTTTTGCTAAATAATATATTATTTTTACAGTTTAACATTAAAAATGGTAAAACCAAGACCTAGAAAGACTGAAAGGGGACTGATACCCAAAGTTATTTATGAAGAAGCTGCCAGAAAGGTGATTGACAATCATCAGTCTGAAAAACAGCAAAAGATTATGGAATGTGCCATGTCTCGTTAAGTCGCTATGTGAATGCTCTACGTAACAACTTACAGCCTAAAGTAGGATACAGCCCATACAATAGGGTGTTTACTGTTCAACAGGAGTCCCAGCTAATCGAATACTGCGAAAAATCTGTTAATTTATATTTTGGATTAACTACAAAGGATCTCCGAAAACTTGCATTTCAGTTTGCATCTGCTAACCGGCTTCCTTATCCTCAAAAATGTAATGATGCAGAACTGGCTAGTGAAGATTGGCTCACAACTTTTCTCAGAAGAAATCCGGGATTAACGTTGCGCACCCCTCAAGCTACCAGCCTCGCACGAGCCATGAATTTTAATAGGGAGAACGTTTCAAACTTTTTTAATAAACTGGCAACTGTCTTGGAAAGATATAGTTTTGAGCCACAAAATATTTACAATATTGACGAAACTGGTGTCTCCACTGTTCAGAAGCCGTCAAAGGTAATTGCCAAAAAAGGAACGAAACAAGTCGGATCAGTAGCATCGCAAGAGCGTGGAACCCTCTGCGTTGCTGTAAACGCTATTGGAAAAGTAATTCCAGCAATGTTTGTATTTCCTCGCATACATTTTAAGGATCATTTTATTAGAGATGGGCCTATTGGTTCTGTTGGGGCAGGCAATAAGTCGGGATGGATGCAGGAACGTGAGTTTATTGACTTCATGAAACACATCGTGAACCATGCTAAGCCCAACGAATCAAACAGAGTCCTGATGTTATTGGATAATCACTCGTCACATGTATCAATCAACTTAATTGATTATTGCAGAGCAAATTTCATAACGCTATTGTCTTTCCCACCACACACCTCCCACCGACTACAACCTTTAAATCGAGGTGTGTATGGTCCCTTTAAGAAATATTTCAACAATGCTGCTGATCAGTGGATGAAAAATAATCCTGGAAAACGAATGACCATCTACGATTTACCATCAATAGTTACAGCGTCCCTTCCTTTGGCCACTACGCCATCAAATATCCAAGCTGGTTTCGCGTGCACTGGAATTTGGCCTTTTAATCGTGAAATATTTTCAGATTCCGATTTTCTACCATCCACTGTTACTGACAGACCACTTAATACCCACCAAACAGAACCCGGACCAACAACTGATAGAGACACCCCTTCGCCCCAACCAGGCCCATCAACCACTCGGGATGCCTCTTCGCCCCAACCAAACCCATCAACTGATCCCCAACCAGGTTCATTAATTCAGTCTCCACAACCAGGAACACCAAGGACTACCATTGAACCAAAAAATAAACCAACATTATCATTTACAAATAGAGAAACTACTCCTTCACCACAACCACAATCTACAATATTCATTACACCCGATATTCTAAAACCTTTACCTAAAGCAGATCTTTTTAAACCAAAAAAAGGGGGCCGAATGACAAGAAAAACTGCAATCTTGAACGATACGCCAGAAAAGAACTTAATTGAAGAAGAAAATCTAAAGAAAAAAAAATCCAGCAAAACGCAAAATTGTTCAAGATAATTCCAAAAGAGGAGGTTCCAAAACTCAAAAAACTGCGAAAAAAAGAATGACAATAATTAAGAAGCCAACAAAAGACTCCTCCACATCAGATTCTTCTGATGATAATGAAACTTTCTGTTTAGTGTGTTGTGGAGCATATTCTGTAAGCAATGGGGATTGGTTGCAATGCAGAAGCTGCCACCAGTGGGCTCATTTAAACTGCACAGACAAAAGTCCATTCTACATTTGCAGAAATTGTAACTCAGATGATGACTCCGACTAATGTGTAACAATTATTTAACACTTTAGATTAAGTTTAAGTTCCAATAATTACTTTGATATAAAAAAGTTGATTTTCGGTAAAACAAATAAATTAATTTTTTAAGCATTTTTAATGGTTTTGTTTTTTGTACAATTCAAATAACATTGTTACAATTAACACCGCCCTTGTTACTTTTGACACCAGGTAGGTGGCGATTGTAACATCTGTCAAGGTCCCTAAAATGGCTTTGTAGTTTTATACCAGTAAATATTTTATAAGTTTGCATTCGAAGATGCTATTCTTAACATTATGCACTTTCCTAAAACAGTTAAATCCAGTTTTCAAATAGTAAGATTAAGCCACGAAAAATCAAAAATCAAATTTTGTTACTATCACCAGGCAGACACCGGTCTCCCCTACCTAGGTCGACTCAGCCTTAAATGAGTACTTGGGATTCACAATCCTGAGGTAATAATAGGCGGTTGAAGCGTAGTGCCAGCCACATTACCTTCCTTGTATACCGAACGGCTCTAGTATAGCAAGCTGTACCTTGCCACTCCCAAGGCGTTAAACGCTATATACGGGAGCTATTATTATTATTAAGGTTTCTTTTTTGTTTTTTACTTAATTTTTTGTTTATTGGCGTTTTAGTTTATTTGTTCAATAAAAAAAAACAATACCAGCAGCTGTTTAATTTCCATTACAGGTGGCTAAAACGAGTGATCGGTATTACCCCACTAGGGTGGGTAATTGCGCTCAAAGCACTAATTATTTTTTTGTGTTCTAATTCGCAAAGAACGTTATTTGAGAATTTTTTTTAACTAAATGTTAAAACAATACTATTCTTTACTCAAACCAATTTTCAACATTCTCTTATTTTTGACAAAAACCATATTTTTGCTTAGGTGAGCGCCATTGCGCCCCGCTCCCCTATTAATTTATCATATAGGCAGTAGATTATCGTGTGTGAATATCTTTAATATCCAAGACTTTTTCTGTTTATTCTAAAAATGTTACCCATTGTAAGGAGAAGAATTGTAAAGTGAAATTAGAGAAACGGCCAGCAATAACAGGCGTTTGATTGCGGTGCGGAGGAATTTAAGAGAGACGCACAATCCCTTCTCTTTACCAGAACCAAGGTGCATCGAATTATTTCGACTCAGTAAAAGATTAGTGAGAAATCTAATTGAGAGGCTAATGCCGTACCTTAGAAGAAGAACAACGGCGCGTGGAATAATAGTTACAAAGCGAATATTTGTGGCACTTCAGTTTTATGCCACCGGCTCCTATCAAAGAATGATAGGAGAAGAGTATAACTTTGGAATGAGCCAAAGTGCAGTAAACATTGCCATCCATGAAATGACAGAAGCCATTTCTAATCATTTAGTCCCAGATTTTATTAAGTTCCGACGTACACATGTTGTAATTATGAAACCAGCTGAAGGAGAACATCTTGAATAGAAAAGGTATTTAATTCTACTAATGGATCAAGTTCAAAATACTCATGTTCAACGATATAAGTATTTACATCAGGCATTAGAACACGTCGAGTATGCTAACTTGAAAGATTTTTTGGATGCAAAATGTCTGCTTCTAAAGAACCTAACACTAGAGCATTCTCGAATAATCAGACGAATATATATTCTACAAATATTTCTGACAGTCCTTATGAAATCAAACCACCGAGATCATCTTTCTTTTTAAACGCCGCTTACGTAAATGAAATACATTCTTCTTTTAAAAATTATGACTTCACTGAAAAAACTATAATCCGATCTCCTACTGAATTGAATGTAGCTAAATTAACTTTCCAGAAATATGCATCGACTAAAAAGGCCACGTTTTTCCAATTTAAATACAAACGTTATTTCTATTAACAAATGTTCTGGTCTAGTGTTAACACTGCGGAAGATTACATGACCAAACTTAACATTCATGACTCATGACTCTAAGGAATTACTTCCTAAACATCGCGTTTCAGTATTATTACCGACCGTTTCTCATTGGTAGCATTCCTCTTCGAAGGAGCAATAAATCGATTAATTATTAACATGACCATGTTAACCCACGTTAAAGATTTTGAAATGGCCCTAAAAAGTTTTAATCTGAATGAACGCATGAAAGATACCATCGCAAAGTGTAAGTCCAAAATGTTGACGGACTCGTTGAATAATACAAGGCAAATCTAGGCCTTCAGTCTTCGGTGTACGTGTTTATAATACACCAACTGTGCCTCGTACAATCACTGCAACAATGGCAAAATCAAACAAGATCAATTAGGAGCAAAACAGCGTAAGTGGAACGAATCATTAGGATTAGCACAACATATTTTTGGGATAATACGGAATCTGTCCAGATTTCAGTTTGGAGGCTTTGATCTACCAGATATTCAATGTCGGAATCAGTAAAACTGACGTTTTGCATGTTATTTTGTTTTTTTGCTTGTTTGTTTTGCGATTAGGTGGCGATCGTATAATTATTATTGATAATGTTTCATTTAATGTTAATGTTAACCTGATTTGTTTTTTTGCTCGTTTGTTTTACGGATATTATTTGATTTTTTTTATTGTATTGCTTTCGCAGTTCACAAACGTCTCTGGACGCAAATAGTTGTGTAAAGCACAACATGCCATTATTATAGATTATTATTTACATTTATGACATAGTACAAGGAGCTGTTTTTGTATATACCACCATCAGAAATTCTTCCACTGGCCCCACAATCAACATAAATAAATTTATAAGTTGCATCTACGAGAGCCAAGAGGACGATACTGTGAAAACCTTTGTAGTTAAAGTATTCCAATAGTGATGATCGGAATTTAATTACCTCGACAGTTTGATTTCCGAAAAGGCAAATATCGGCTCTGAAATTCAGCACAGAATTAGAAGCGCCTCAAGAGCATTCTCGAAATTAAAAGACAGGGTTTTCTACAATCATGACTTAAGCACAAAAACGAAACTTGCAGTGTATCGAACAGTAACAATCACCACGTTATATGGAAGCGAAACCTGGGTGCAGTACCACCGGCACACGAGCACATTAACCCGTAACTGGTGATGTCGGGTGCAGAATACCCGGGCAAAACTTTAGAGCGCCACCGACAAAAAATAACATGCGCGAAGGCGCTCTCCGCATATGTACCTTTCAGTCAGTAGTTCCCTCATCGCGTGCGTGTGCGACCTTGGCCCATTAGTTACTTGTTTACGGACAATTATTTTATACATGCTTGCTTCATCCACGTTACCGTAGATGGAGCTAAGAAGGCTTAGGTAGGGTATATATTATTAGGGTATATGTTATAATTATTTTATATTTAGGGTATTTTTCACCCGTCCTCACCAGTAACGTTACAGTTGTTATAGCGGTCATTGCCTTTTTTGGTGTATATAATGGCGTCCAAGAGACAGTCCATGAAGCCAACTGACCCAGGATTTGAGGAATGGGCTATGAAAATGCTGGATAACAATGAAAGTGTGTATAGTGGTGATGAGGGAGATATTATAGACAAAAATTTTGAAAGTGACCACGTGAGTGAATCTGACCAGGAAGCATCAGAGAATGAGGACATTCCGGTTTCTTTACACAATGTAGACGAATACATTGGCCGTCCATCAAGCCTTACATCATCGTTCCCAAACTACCAATCGGATGACCAATCTTTGTCAGATGATGATGAACCACTGAAAAAAAAACGCCTACGGAAGCAGGTAAAGTACCGAAGTGGTTTTGTATGGGCAAAAGAAGCACCGTCTTCAAATGTTCGCACCAGAAAACACAAGCGTTTTTTAAACAACCACCACTGCGAACGGCAGCTTTTCATCGGAGAGCAGTCGTGGATAAGGTATTTCATTAGAGAGAAAATGAATCAATAATAATAAACAAAAGATATATAGATATTGGGCGCCAGGCATGTACAGAGAAAGAAAACACAGTTGTATAATACTTAAAACTAATGACTATATTTATTCGTGATGAATTCTGATGGTAAATAGCATTGTACAATTTAAATAATTATTATAGTGGTTACTTGTTGAGTAAAACTATATATGTAAATAATATTAAATACGTTCTATGAAAAGACTATAAAGAAAATACAATGCGTGTAACGTTATAGAAAATATAGGAAAAGTAGCATTACTTTATTTAAATTGTTAAATTTATACGGTGTTAAATCAGATGTGTTGCAACCTTAGATTCTAGAATCTATCTCGTTATTCATCTGTTAGTATAGCGTAATAATAATGTCTATAGAAAGTAATACTATTACAATGCGTGATATTATGAAATCTAAAATCTAAATCACACTTTTACTACTGCATCGACATAAATATCCTTAATAATCTAACCACTAAATATAGTCTGTACGCTATTGTTTAAAATGTACGTTACTGTTTAAGACTGAAAACATTTTAGATGTTAAATGCAAAACTAGAACTTAAATATACACTTAGCTGTTCTTTTATGTAACCCTGCTTCAAACAGTAGCAGGCGAGGAGGTCTAGCATCTCTGTACTGTCTGTCGGCGATCCAGGCTTAGAAATGGGGGTGAAGCAGCACGGGGCTCAAGCCACATCCACGCTGGGGCACTCTATGTGTAAGACAAATCAATCCTACTGGGGACACTTGTCCATGGGACATCCGTCCATAAGATAGTGGCACAAGAGAACACTACTAGGACCTTGAAAAATAGTCCATACCTTGGACACTTGTCCGTAAGACAATGTCCGTCCGTAAGACCCTAAGAACACGAAACTC